TTATTCCCGTTTTCAAATGTTAGTATTTGTAATTGACAAGGCGAAAGGTTTTTTTAAGTGTATTTATGTATGTCCAATCATGAATGAATTATATCATATGTACCTAAAGTAAATTAAACGATTACATATTGTGACACCGATATATATGTACGAAATGTGGCTCTGTATATCAGTCTGACAAATTATTTGTCGACCCTGTCATAGCGGCGTTAGCAATTTGAACGTCAGTCATTGACTTCCAATTATATGGACGTCGGGTCCGCGCTAAAAAGTGTCCGAACTTAAAGGGCGTTAAAATCGTATACAGAGCGTCATTCACGCTTTAGTATTCGTTTATTCGACTGACAGCGCGCTTGTCGATGATGCCGTATTGTGTAGTAAAACCTTGAAAAAATTACTCAATTAAATTGAAAAAACATGATTTACCTATATCATATTTTCAGTAAGCACTACATTTTGTTATCATAGTTATCATTTAAAAGTGTTATTTTATGCACTAGTATATATAGTATTAAAATTAATCGTAAATATAAATTACAAAAGCAATCAAAATAATCAAATAGCTAACTGTCTCTTTCCGACTCATAGCTTGCGTAAAAGACTGAACGAGACCCAACACGTCAATTTCAATTGTTTCAAACGCAAGCGTTTGAAATATTTAGAGCAAAAATTTCATAGAGTCGCTTTGATGCTAATGTTATTATTAAAATATTTTTTAATACATGTTAGTAATACTTTCAAATATTGTTGTTTCCATAATCCCGAAAGTATTCTTTTAGGTTTTTTTTTTAAATATTACAAAACAAACCTAAGCTAACTTAGTCTTTTCTTTGTAATAAGCATCCAAAACTCCTTAAAGTATAACGGTTTTATTATGAATCGGTTTTCAGGATTATGAAAATTTGGCTTTACGTTGAATTTGAATTTAAAAAAATCGAAACATCGGTACATTTTTTATGGCGTGGCATAATAAATGTATTTATTTCAGTTTTCCTCGAGATCCTATACTCTTCTCACTGTGGAGAAATATAATAGCTGAATCGCGACGAGAAGAACATTTTATCCCGAAAATATACAAATTTGTTTGCTCGGCTCATTTCAGACAATCGGATATGTACATAACCAGCAAAGGCTTACGAAAATTAAAAAAACAGCTTTGCCAACATTGCTAGTAAGAACTGCTTTTTGGTGCCTAGGCATTATATTATATTTTACTAAATTTATATTAAAGCTTTGGTATGTGATTACATCAATGAGTGAACTGTGCATAGAAAGGAAAGAATATAGGAATTTATCCAGTAAACATAGCTTGTACTTAAGGAGAAAGTGACAAGTATTAACAGAGAACATGTTACACCGCCAAAATGCATTAAAAATCAAAAGTTGGATGAATGACAAAATATACCCACTTAAGAAACAAAGAAGGTAATTGAAGCAGACTGACACTGCAAATTAAATAGGATTTTTTTTAAAGTTTAAGCAATTTGTAGCTTTCACATGCAAACAATGCATAATAATACAAATAGTACAACCTTGATAGCCTAACGGTTTGCACTGTGGGCACTGGATGAGAAGTTCCCGAGTTCGATACCGGTAGGATCAATTTAACAAATTAACTTTTCTAAATGGTTCTGGTCTTGGTATTCTATTGTAAGACAATCGCCTGGTCTGAAACTAGGAAACTCTCTGTATATACTCCCCATGAGTATCAGAGCAACAGAATCCCAGAGCAGAACCAATTTACAAAAGTTAATTTCAAAAATTGGTTCTACCGGGAATCGAACCCGGGACCAAGAACGATGGAATTTATTTCGGGGCACAACTCAGAACACCCAGGCCAAAACAACTTTCGAAAAGTTCACATTTAGTTTTATAGTTGATTGAGCTGATTTTTTACGGTTTTTAAAAAAAACTCGAATAACTCGATAATCGGGTGCGAGAATTCTGGAAACTCAAGAAATAAAATCAGACACCCTAGCTCGTAATGAATGGCATTGTATAAAATTCAACATTTACATATAATATTTATTTATAAATAATAAAGGCTACTCCATTATACCTGTGTTCAAGTACTTTTCACTAGAAGCTACATATGGTGCATTTTGGTAAGTTTCCAGTAGAAGCTGAATATGGTGTTTTTTGCGCCTTTCAATTGTTGCAAGCAAAATTAGACAGTACTACGATGACATTACAATTTAAATTCAACGTTTTAGCTTTTTCATATTCCTTTACATGTCACTACGTTTAAATAGGTTGACTTGGGACATTTTTTTCGTGGTTTTTGTATTAGACCCGTCGTTCATGTATTTGTAAGTCAATGACGTCAATGTACGCATTTTAGTAGACAAAATTAATTATTTATGAAGACAATTCCAGTACGCGCAGCCGTGTTAATCATTACGTAATTTCAAATTACTCAAACAATATTATACTAGTAGTTGAAAATCGTTAATACACGGAACTTACTAATTTTCCTAGGGTTGTAATATTTCAAAATCTATAAAAAACATTTTGCTGTCTTCAAAACTTAGCATCAACTCAAATTTTTTCATCAACGACTTTTTGAGCTTATGTAATTTTGAAACCTTAATAGAAAAGTGACTATAAGTTTGCAATTATTTTGATTCCTTAATATCCCAAATACAATCAAGCTACGTCTGTGAAAAGAATAAATGTGTACAAATTTTTATTTACAAAAAGCAACCCCTAGAGTTTTTTGCTACCTAATTCTTTTCAGGGGAATCTGCCTTACGAATGATATAGTAGAGTTTAACCAATGTGACGATTTCAAGTGTAATTAATTAGCTTACCTATGAAATAAACATTTTTTGAGTTTGAATTTGAGTGTCCTCTAAAGGGTGTTTAAGTTGTGTGTTGGTAGTACAGGTTTAAGTAAAAGGGAGCGCGTTAAAAAAAAATGTTTGGTATTTTGAAAAATATAGTCGGTGTGGATGAAGATTCCATCGCCGAGATGGAGACGTAACACGTATTACTAGTCACCCCGTGACCACGGCCGTCATGTTGGGAAAATAGGTAGGATCGAAATACCTGTTAAAAAGCAATGTTTTGCGATGAACAGCTTTAGTTTTACGTTCAGTTGAATATCTTTCAAGAAAAGTGGCACAAATTAAAATAGGTCCCTTTTGACACTTTTAAATGTGCTTTATTTGATTACAAATAAGACACCGAGCTTTGTATTGGTTAAAACAGTCAAGTCATAAGTATATTATAATTCGCCGAAAATGTGCGCGATACGCCTCAATTTTTTTTTGATAATTTTTTTTTATAACGCACACACTCGACATAGCCCCGCACTAGGGAAACCCTGTGTCGCGGGTGCCACGGACACACAAATAGATAATTACAAACTACACACAAACTCACGAACAAATAAATGTAGACCATACAAATATTTCTCTCGGCCCGGGAATCGAACGTGGGACCTCTGCATGGCAGTCCGGCATGGTAACCGTTCGGCCACAGAGGCAGTTAATTAATAATTATCTTCTTCCTGTACAATTTGATGTTTTTCAGATAGGCCTCTTTTGTAGAAAGCCATCGAATTATCCTGGTTATCCATAATTTTGTATTAGACATACTATGTGTTTATATTAATTAGCGTCTTCATAAAGAATCGCGAATGTCATATTCTCACAATTCCGATACTTTATGTTATTTTATGATTAATTTATAAAAAGTGCTTATGTTAAAATTTTATAGTATCAGCACTTTTTACATTTGCTTTGGAACACAAAATATTTAAACGACGTAGCTAGTTTTAGATGGTGTCTCAAACTTTGAAGACTTATGGTTGCCACAAATACGCATTAAGATAAGCAAACTTGTGAGGTTTCAAATTTATTTGCTGTAACACTTGTACACTTGCAAATTTGGCAAGTGACCCTAACTTACCGAGAATTCTGCAACGCTGTAATTCAATAATAATAATAACGTACACTCATAGCCGCGCACTCGGGAAACCCTTGAAAAGGTTATAAACCGCCAATAGGGAGCAATAATAATAGATTACTCGGTCCACATGAATTTATTGCATAAGTAAAGATGAAGAAAGGAAGAAGGGCTGTAACAATAAAAATAGTATAATAAACAGGTACAAAAAAAACACTCCCTACTTAAATACTACGAAACATGTGTGAGACAGTAAAGAACTTATCCCGAACGGACCGTATTTTTTAGAAATATTAGTTAGGTTACTTAATTTTAAAGATATTAATTAGAACACGACTAAAATCGGAAACTGGTAAACGGATCAAAATTTGTGGTGAAGACGAGCAGGAGTGCTCGCTTCAAACATTAAGTGGAGAGTGATGATGGAACAAAACTAACAATACATACAACAACAATTTATACGCAAAACAACACAGGCGAATTGAGAACCTAAAAACATGAATAAAGTAGGTTCAATTAGTATTTTTTAATTTAATAATTTAAAACTTACTTACTTTTTACTAACAGAATAGCTAACTAACTAATAGACTTCCAGCCATGGTCATCAATAAATTAAAAGAAAATAATTTCTGTAACAAAATCACATAACAGGTAACAACTCATATTAGTGCCGTCACGCACCGCTAGATGGCATTGGCGTCGAAATAGCAAATTCTGCATCGCGGTGTTAAGATTTTCCCTCGCGGAATGACTACTGGCGGCGATGCGAACCTACTGCACTATGCTACGCTTCTAGCGCTGTTTCCTTATTGTTGCACCCTGAGCCGCTTCCTAATTGGAACGTGCGTACGGGTGGGTCCTCGACTACGTGCCGATTAGGGGGAGCCCTTTCCCACTGTACCACCGACGTTGTATATGTTGTGAAATAAAACCACCATATTGGAAAAACCTGGTTTCCCTCGGTCACCCCAATAAGAACTACTACACTGGCGCCCAACGTGAAGCACGACAAGCCGCGATTTACAACAACAGCAGGCAGAGTCACTTCACACTATATACAAACTACGCGTGTACCGAGGAAACCTACCAATATGGCAGTCAACATGACGGATGAACAATTTCAACAGCTGCTTTCAAGACTGGCGCCAGGGAAAAAGGGTTCTTTTGCTGCCTGTACGTCGAGTTTTGATGGTACAAAGGATGCTGAGGTGGTGGAAGCGTTCCTGTCAGCAATAACTGTTTACAAAACCATTGAGAACATCTCCGACACTGATAGCCTAATTGGAATTCTGCTATTACTCAAGGGAGAAGCTGCAATATGGTGGCAAGGAGTTAAAAATGATGTCAAGCAATGGGAGGAGTTCAAGAACTGTCTTCGCCATGTGTTCGTCCCGAAGAAGCGTGCGTACTTAATATACCAGGAGATAGTGGGAGACAAGCAGAACTCAGATATGTCAACTGAAAGCCTCGTGGCACACAAAAGAATGCTGTTTACTCAACTCCCCACCGAGCATAGCGAGATACAACAATTGGACATGGTGTTTGGACAATTGAACATTAAGATCAAAGAGAGAATACCTCGAAACTCTATCGCGAATTTTGAAGCTGTTAGAAGCAGTCCGTGGGGTAGAACAGCTTTATGAGGATATTGGAAAAAGTGACCATCTTAAGGATAAACTGACTCCCAACACTTATAACCATGAAAATGTTGCTGCTTCAATGGCGGCAAGTCAGCGCAAGAAGAAATGCTCCTTTTGTCATTTGAAAGGTCATACCGCTGCCGAATGCAGAGAGCTGAAGCGAAGACAGAGCGAACTTCCAGTACCGGAGACACCACACCAAAACATAAAGACAACTCAAGCTCCATCACCAAGTCAGCCCAAATTTAGCTGTTATGGTTGCGGTGCCCCGGGTGTCGTGAGAAGCAACTGCAATACGTGCACTAGTATTAAACGGAGCCCGTCTCAAGCAGCCGACATTAGTTTTTGCGCTGTTAATATTAATCGCACTGACTCAAGACCTAGGCCGGTCGTCTTCGTCGAAATAGTTGGAATCAAAGGTACATACAGCTCACATTGATACTTGTGCCAAGACTAGTGTCGCATCCTACAACCTGTACCATCAGCTATTAGCCAAGGGTGTTGCATTTCACAAGGAGATCGTCAATCTTACGTTGGCAGACGGAATCAGCAAAACACGAGAAGTCCTGCAAACTAGAGTACCGGTTACCTTAGAACACCGGGTGATTGAAACAACGTTCATCGTACTTCCAGAATCTAAGGATAACCTATCCAGTCGTAGGGTACAAAACCTCACCCCGATCTCGCTGTTTGACCGCCTAATCCCTTGGGTGAACACGGTCAAATACTTAGGAGTTACGCTCGATAGGAAGCTGTCATTCAAAGCACACGTGATACCGTCCGCGATCGCGCCCACTTTGTTATGAGCCGGCTTCTTCCCCTTCTCAACAAGCATAGCAAACTCTCCCTTCGCAATAAGGTGAGACTGTACACGACCTGCATCCGCCCAATCATGACGTACGCCAGCGTCGCATTCGCTGAGGCAAATCCCGTGCTAATACACCGCCTGCAGGCTCTCCAAAATAGATTCATGCGCAACGCGACGGGTGCCCCGTGGTAACCTGCGCAACGCTAACCTCCATATAGATTTACGGCTCCCCACAATAGCCCAATTCATGAAACAGGCATCGAGGAAATACTTCGACTCTGCTCCTCACCACCCCCACCCCCTCGTGGTGGCTGCATCCTCTTACGACCCCCTCAGGGAACAACCCCACCGCGTACGTAGGCCCCGTCGGCCAAGGGAAGTCCTCAACGACCCTGACGACCCTATCACTCTCGCCACTTTGAAGGCCGCTAGATCGCTAGTCAGTCCCGTCCCGCACGCACCAACCGTCCTCGTCGGCGAGGTCGTAGAGCCCCTCATTTTAGCACGTACACTGGTAGATTCTCTCCAACAGCACGCCCTTCTGGCGGAAGTCTCCAGTAGCGCCCTGAGCCGAGGTCCGTGCCCACTTGGGCGCCCTCAGGCCCGCTACTTAGCTTTAAGTTTATTTTAGGGGTTATGAGCCTTCAGCTCGCCCTTTTTCTCCGGTGGCGCAGTAAAGGCCATCAGCGGCCAACTGCAAAATATCATTCATAATAAAAAAATAAAAAAAACATGAATGTAATGCAACTTACTACGCATCTAGCTCTGCTTCCTTGTTTGGAACTCCGCTAATCCGCTTTAGATCGTTACTGTTGAACCTACTGCATTGTGCTACGCTTCTAGCGCTGCTTCCTTATTGGAACTGCGCTTTAAAACGTAACACGTAGTTGTTGCACCCTGAGCCGCTTCCTAATTGGAACGTGCGTACGGGGCCTCGACTGCGTGCCGATTAGGGGGAGCCCTTTCCCACTGTACCACTGACGTTGTATATGTTGTGAAATATATTGGAAAAACCTGGTTTCCCTCTGTCAGCCGAATAAGAACTACTACATTTCTTAATTGGCATTGAAACTGTGTTTTCGGACCTAAATCGCGTAGGTATATCAGTTTTTTCAAACAGACTAATAATGTTTTGGGTTCTTTACAGGTCCCAATCAACCAAGATCATGGGACTTATAAACGGCGCGACAAGTTGGTTTGTTTGAAAAAAAAAATTACATTCGAAATAGTTTCATTTCCTATGAAATGTAGCAATCGCAAAAACCATAACCACGTAACAACACGATCGTATCTTACGTTTCAGTAATAAATTGCACGCAAAATTTTTAAATACATAAATAAGGCAACACGCGGAATGCTAATTTAAATTATATAAATAACGCGTCGAAAATCACACAATGAAAATAATCGTCAATTTATATGTTCATAAACTGGAAATTTAAATTTCGAACGTTGCTGACGCGAATAAATTCTAGAAAGATATACAATACATGGTGACAAAATTGTAAAACCTTTCGTAGCTATAATTTTTGCCCAATATTTATTATTATGGTAAAAGTCTCTTTGGGTACTTTTCGTATTGTGGGTTTGCCCTATTGTAGCCCTATTGTATTTATTGCATTTACTGCATGCGAATTTAACAATGACGAAAGCACTACTGCACATAAACATAAACCACTACAAACCTATAAGCCAATAATAAAGACTGATCAACGAAAGCTTGTACAATGCATTTTTTCAAAATCAGTGCATAAATGGCTAAGAAGTCGTGGTAGCCTAATTATTTGACCTATCGTCTCTCAAGCAGAGGTCTTGGGCTCGAATCCGGATTCACACCTTTGATTTTTTCGAAATTAATGTGCGAAGTTTAATTTGAAATTTATCGTGTTTTTCGGCGAAGCAAAAAACATCATGGTGAAACCTGCACGTCGGGGAAGGTTTATAACCCCCGGAAAGTGTGTTTTCTTCAACCCGCATTGACCCAGCAGCGTGGCAGACTATGGCCTGAACTTTCGCCTGAGAGGAGACCCGTGCCCAGCAGTGGAACATATAAATGGATTGTTGTTGTTGTCGTTGTTATTGTGTGTGGCAACACTATATTTTTGTCGAAAGTAATTTGACAATTCGTAATTATAACCTCTTTAAATTGTAAATATTGCATTTAAAACGGGTGGAGGTATTTTCGTCAATACATTTCTTTTTGTAACACCCAGCATTTACGTACTCGTGTGTTCGGGCTATAAACATGTCTTCTAAATTATCCGCCTATTTAATATGAACCCTCGATTTGGTGTCAATTTTAAGGTAAATTAGTGAGTTCGTTACGAAGTTCTTAATTCAAATTTTGTCAATTACAAACATTACAAAGCAGGTTTAATAAACGAAAAATTAGTAATCAGTTTTTTTACTTCCTTTTATAAGTACAAATGAGCAATGGCCTTAGCGAACACTACTTATTACAAGAAAGTCTATTACCTTTCATCTATAAGATTAAAGATTACACTTTCATTATTTCAATAATAGTCACAACTTTTATTAACGTAACGTTTTGTTTAATTATTAATATAATTTAAATAATAATATGTAAGACGAGAGTCCGCCTTTTGTACCATGATATCTTGTGGTCAATAAAGCTTAACGAATAAATAAACTTTTTATACTTGTTGACCCATCAACCAGACAAAGACAATTAACCAACAAAGGAAAAAAATAATATGTGTAATCTAAGCACTTGTTTCATATTAATTGGAGGTGTGTTGTCCCCACCCTTCGCTGCGCGTGACCTGGTCACGGGAACTAGGTCACCCCTTGCACCCCTCCCATTCCCTTAGGCTCCTTCATGCCCTGATTCTACCTTCATCGAGACTCGACAGCGAACAATCGTGATGAAAGATGCTTACAAACGCTTTATTGAGGATAACTCGTAATATAAGCAATCTCGAGCTTAGTCTCGGCGCTTTTTTACTTCAAAGTAGACAAATTGTTGAAAACTTTCAATACAAATTGTTGATCATCACTAAATTTAGCAATATTTTCTATAATTGACAGTATTGAATTAGAAGCACTAGAGCCTCTTGTAAAAGAGTTTGTCCAGAAAAGTACTGCCACCTTAGCTAATTCTGCCGCCATACTGTGTTTCGGTTTTGAAGCGCAAGGTCGCTGGTGAAATTACAGGAACATGGGACATGTCAACTTATGTCTCAGGGTGACGGACGCAGTGGCAGTGCCCCTCAGATTGTTGTGATTTAAAGCTCTGAGGGGACTGTAACTGCTATTGTTCATTCCATCACATTCTAATAACTCAGAACTCGATAGAACGATTAAATATAGAACAGTAGAGCTAGCACGACAGGGCGCGACTAGCGCGAGAGCGACATAAAGCGCGACATCTCTATGTGAGAATAGCAGTATTTAGAATAGCCCTACAGGACAATAGAAACATCATTGGCTATAAACTAAATACGATTATCACAAGTTGCAGATTTTTTATTACGTTGCGACTTTGTCTTCTTTCTCCTTTTGAGTTGACTGGATTTTGTTTAGACCTGTATACCTGGCTATTAACAATTACTAATAACAATTGTCGTAATTGGTAGTATGAAGAAAAGAAGAAATAAATTTGTCACAGATGGCGCTACGGCAAAAAGTACGTTAAAAACCAAAAACAAAGATCTGCAAGAATCACATAGAAAAATTCGTAAGGTCTGCTGGTCCGTTTCGTGGCCTAATTGGCAGAGAGTCTGGCACGGATTGTCTGATGGTGATGGTTTGAATCCAGCCGGATCGAATGACTTTTTATAAGTGTTTCGATCTTTGTTATTAATAATTATAATAAACTAGTAGAGTTATTTGACAAAAAAAATAGAAAAATTGAATATCATAGTATTAAAACATCGTAACATTCAATAACACGTAAAAAATAAATATTGCAATTAACCAAGGGAAATTTGAACTATAGGCCTATAAGTTGTTATACACATTATGGACTACATATTCGAAAGGCTTCAGATATTTATTACAGTTAACAAATTTTTATTGTAAAGATTGGAAAAGTTATTTCCTACTACGAAGATTGATTTCATATTATGGAAATCGTCCACATTTTTTGTTAATTGACATTTTTTTAACAAATGTAGATAACTTTTAAGCAAGACAAATCTTACAGAATAAATAATAGTACAGGTCTCAATTAGAT